AGACAAACTCCTAACAAGACACAAACTCCAAGAAGAATTACATAGTTTTCACTTCAGCAACACATATACTGAAATTGCAAAGATTCAGAGAAGATTAACACAGCTCCTGTGTAAGGATCACACTAAAATTTTCAAAGTATCCCATATTGTTCTGCTGATGTAATGCACAGCCTGGGTAACCATAGCTAACAATACTGTATTATATAGCTGATACTTACTTAAGTTGGTCTTTAAAAGTTCTTATCACAAGAACATACATGTGGTGATGGAAGTTAACTAAATTTATTGTGGTAACCAATTTACTACACACACACATATATATGGCTTCCCTTGCAGCTCAGTTGATAAAGAATCTGCCTGCAGTGCAGGAGATCCTGGGTCAGGAAGATTCCCTGGAGAGGGAAATGGCAACCCATTCCAGTATCCTTGCCTGGAAAATCTCATGGACAGAGGAGCCTGGTGGGCTGCAGTCCATGGGGCTGCAAAGAGTTGGGCACGACTGAGCAACCAACACTTACTTACTTACATGTGTGTGTGTGTGTGTGTGTGTGTGTGTGTGTGTATGTAGGCATGGTCAGATTATTTTTCCCTATAATCTTCTTTATATCTTTAAGTTCACTGGGAAAACATCTCCCTCATTCATGGTTTTAGTCATTTGTGTCCTCTCTTTTTTCATGGTCAGTGTAGCTATAGGTTGCCAAACTCTTTCAAAAAAATATAAGAGAGAGGAATATTCTGCAGTCATTCTATAAAGCCAAATTATTCTGATACCTCCCAAGATGGCAGAGTAGAAGGACATGCACTCATCTTCTCCTGCGAGAACTCCAAAATTACAACTCACTGCTGAACAACCATCGACAGGAGAATGTTGGATACCACCAAAAAAAGATACCCCACATCCAAGGGCAAAGGAGAAGCCCCAGCCAGATGGTAGGAGGGGCGAAACTGCATTTAGAATCAAACCCATACCCACCAGAGATGCTCAGAGGGTTCAAACAAACTTTGTATGCACCAGGACCCAGAGACCCCACAGAGACTGAGCCAGAACTGTGTTTGAGTGTCTCCTGTGGTGATATGCGTTAGCAGTGGCCTGCTGCAGGGTCAGGGGCTGTGGGTAAAGTACGCCTGTGTATGGCATAAGCCTTCTTGGAGGAGGTCGCCATTAACCCCACCAAAGAGCCTCCAGAACTTTCACAGGACTGGGGAAACAGACTCTTGGAGGGCACAAACAAAACCTTATGCACACCAGGACCCGGGAGAAAGGAGTGGTGACCCCACAAGAGACTGACCCAGACTTGCCCGTGAGTGTTCAGGAGTCTCTGGCGGAGGCGTGGGTTGGTGGCAGTCTGCTGCAGGGTTGGGAGCACTGAATGCAGCAGGGCATACATGGGGCCTTTTGAAGGAGGCTGCAATTATCTTCNTGAGAGTTAAGATGGAAAGTTATTTTTATTTAAAAAAGCAATTTTTCTCTGACTGCTTCTAGGATTCTATTTAGGTTTCAACTTTCTAGCTGTCTGTTGCTAACACATCATGTGAAATTAGGTATGGGGCATTTGAAGTTAGAGAGCTGATTTCAGAGCTCACTGAAGTTCTAAGGGATGCACTGCATTTAATTATGATAGTTCTTTACGTAGAGTTTAAAAATATAATGTTTCCCTGGCTATCAACAGGTGAAGTTAACCAAATAACTGGGGAAAAAAAAAATTGCCTCCAGATAGTAATGGACCAGCCCAAAATTTACATACTGTTTTCACATGTACAGGCACAAAAATTCTTCTGCTTAAATAAAGTGACAGAGTGGAAAGAAAAAGTCGATAAGGAAGAGTAATATTTTTAAAGCACAGCAAGTGCGTAACTTGAAATGTACCATCAGGGACTTCTCTGGAGGTCCAGTGGTTAGGACTCCACATTTTCAATGACACTAAAATCCCACATGCTATGCAGTGTGACCAAAAGATAAAAAATAAAATGTGCCATCAAATGGATTTAATCACAGAGGAGAGGCTACAACCAGCAATAGAGGCTGTGCAATCTAGCAGATGGAATGTGAGAGCAGGGTTTCAGATGACTTTTTGTCTTATCTGTATAGCTCTCCACTGCTGAGTGACCTGCTGTATTTACCCATAGAGGAAAATTATACATCTGATAATGTAGAACATTGCTCATAAACCTCTTAGCTTTGACGTTGAAGAATTATGAGACTAGACTATAAGTGTAAATACAATAAGTGAGTTTGCTGTGATTCTCTCTGCAATGTAAGAAAAAAAGTCAGTGCCTGAGTTTGGGGAAAGTTTGAGAGAAGTCCTATTTAATAACAAGGAAATAATCATGATACCCAACTTAGAGATTTACAGTCTCTTCTCTGAACCCCTGTTGCCTCAGATGTATTTCAGAATTCAGGAATGTTAAGAATGTAGACTTATAATTGAGGACATATGTCATATATTATATAATATTTATAACATTACCACAGAGGATGAGATGGTTGGATGGCATCACCAACTTGATGGACATGAGTTTGAGTAAGCTCGGGGAGTTGGTGATGGACAGGGAGGCCTGGTGTGCTGCAGTCCACGGGTTGCAAAGAGTCAGACATAACTGAGCAACTGAACTGAACTGATTCTGATAGCAAAACTAGACAAAGATATCACAAGAAAGAAAACTATAAATCAATATATCTTATTAATAAAGATGCAAAATTCCTCAACAAAATACTAACATACTGAATCCAGCAACATATATAAAAATCATATGTTTTATATGAATTATACACCATGACTAAAGGTTTATCTCAGGAATGCAAGGGGGTTGAAACATGAAAATCAGCTAATCTAAAATAGCATCATACAAAATATAACATTATACCAAATGAAAGAAGCCAGACATAAAGGACCAAGTATTCAACAGTAGCTTTTCCCTAAGACTTATTGTATAAGAAAGTTGGGGAAAATGCCTGAGATGGGCTCTAGTGGTGAGGCTAGTGAGATTCTGAGTTGGAAATTCACCAAAGACATCTTCAAAGAAGGAAAAGGCAATCTTCTAATAGAAAAAAGCATAAAAATCGGAGAAATGTCATGCTGTGTCAGGTTATTTCATCCACTTTTAATGTTCTTCCTTTGACAGAATCCTTTGTTTGGGCATATGGGTATCTCCCCTGATATCAACTTCCAAAGATCTGTGGCTTCCTCTCCCATTATCTAAATTCTTGAACTGCTATATCATATTCATGAATTGACACGAACTGCTTCTGTATAAGCATGGCAAAAAATGTTTGATACATTTTAGAGTAATTTCAATTCTACAAGAGTCTCATAAACTGAGAGCAATGACATAATACAGTTAGTACACTGGTACCTATTTGAAGATTTTTTTTTTTTTTTCTGTTAGAGGGGAATGTGTTCATGCTAAGTTGCTTCAGTCTTGTCCGATTCTGTGTGACAGTATGGACTGTAGCCCACCAGGCTCCTCTGTCCATGGGATGCTCCAGGCAAGAATACTGGAGTGGATTGCCATGCCCTCCTCCAGGGGATCTTCCTAACCCAGGGATCGAACCTGCATCTCTTATATCTCCTACACTGGCAGGAGGGTTCTTTACCACTAGCACCACCTGGGAAGCCTGTTAGAGAAGAATAACAGGTTCTAAAACAGGAATATAGAAGACGACAAAAGATTTTCTCTTTCTCCTTTAGAACTGCGTTTTAGAGTTCAAGATTCAAACGCAGTAAAAATTTTGATTAATATTATGCTTCTATTGTGGCCTTTGGGTCAGATAGGCTTCTTATATTAGCCCAACCACCACCCATACTACCTTTTTATTTCTGAAAGACCAGGAATTTGGAGAACTCTGTGTCAGGAGAAGACTCTGGTAAGATAAAGGAGAGTATGTGATGATCAAGGATGCATTCCCTTTGTCATCTATAGACACGCAGGCACGCACATTTCTGTTAGCTTTGCAGATATAAGCTCCATAAACACAAGTCATCTTGTCTTACGTCCACCACTCTCATATCTCCAGAATCTAACTTGTCAGAGTAGTCGGGACTCAATGATTCTAATGCTCATCACTTCCATGAAATACGACCTAGCAGTGCCCAGTTCACACTCAAATCTCAGAGGCAATACGGCTTCTATATCCATGTTGGCCAAGTCAATTTGATTTTTGGCTTAACTTGAAAGGAAGTAGTCAAAGTAAGTTTAAAAATCCAAATAAAATATTTTCAGCAATCATGAAGGGGAGAAGGGAATAACTATTAATTGTCATCACACCATTTTGCCCTACTATTATTTTGTGTTCTTCCAAGAGTACCAAGTCATTTATTGCTTTTTTTTTACATTAGAATACATAATTTGGCATATTGAAGTTTTTTTTTGTAAATCTACTCTCAGAAACAGGTAAAATTATGCTGAATAAACAAGGATTGGAATTTTTTCCACTCAAGCTTCTGCTTTTTAAAACAGATGACAACTGATGAGCCCAAATCTGAACCAAAATGGCAAAGTAGAAATCTCTACCTGCAGTTCAAGGCCACAGAACATTTAAAAATTATAACATTTTAAAATTTCCTTTGGAACTAACATCCATATCCCACTAGTACTGTTAAGTAGTAGAAGGAATATGCACCATATTACTTTTATAAAATGTGGAAAATCCTGAATTCCAAAACTATGGACTTGGAGTTCAGTTGAGGCAACGGGCCAGGAGATTAGAAGAAAAGCCCTGTGTATTACACTTGTATTTAAACAGGAAAGTTGGGCAAATTATAATCTCTCTGTTTCATTATTTGGAAACAAGGGAGTTGGTCCAGATGAATTCTAAAATCCTTGATTAAATTCTAAGATTCTACCTGATCAACTTATATTTTGAAACATATAAATTGTGTTCAACTTAGATTATTTTGAAATTCCATTAAATTATGGGCATTTAACTTTGCCTGGAATGTGTGACAAGCACACATTATTAGATGTCCCTGCAATTATGCAATTTAATTCAGTGTTAGTACCTGCTGTGCCAAACACAGATGATATGCCTTCCATAATGGTCCTGTGGATATTGGGATGAGACAGGACAAATGCAAATGTCCAAAATGCAACCTTAAAAAGAAAAACATGTGTCAAAAAATATAACCTTCTTTGAAGGTGAACAAAAGAATACACAGTATTAGCCACAAACAGTTAAAATATTTAAGTTAAAAGCATGTTAGTAAAGAGTATCTTTGAAAACAACTAGATGTTATGAACAAAGAGATGTTATATTATCTCTGAGGGGTTCACTTTACAATTTTATTCTGCCACTATAGTTTTACTATATTGTTTATACGGAGTAAACTATCTTCACTACAAATAAAATGGGAAAATCAGGATTTTTAATTTTATTAATATACAATATAAAATATTATACCAGCACATATTAGAATTTTAGAAATAACAAATTACAACACTTAGGCAAGTTAGTCGAAAGCAAAGATATTTTTAAAGATTCAATCTCTTTGAAATACAAATTAGCAAATCATATATTATGCAAATAAAACATAGTAATTTTAAATAAGCCTCAGAAACTATACCTAAAATCTCATAAACTCAATACCAAAAATAGGGTTCTTTCACACCCTATTGAGCAAGGAGGCTTATAAGTTTATAGAGTATTACTGAACACAGTATGCTTGGAAGTTCTCGCTCTAGGCCAAACAAAATTATTTCACATCTTTACTCATCACGGTATTATAAAATACCACAACCAACAAAATACCACCAACCAATAAAATTATACTGCTATACATCAAAGACATACAGATGGCTAACAAGCACATGAACAAGATGCTCAACATTACTAATTACTAGAGAAATGAAACTCAAAACCACAATGAAACATCCCCTCACACTGGTCAGAATGACTGTCATCAAAAAAGTCTACAAATAACAAATGCTGGAGAGGATGTGGAGGAAATGAAACCCTCGTACACTGCTGCTGGGAATGTAAATTGGTGCAGCCACTATGGAAAACAGTATAGAGGTTCCTTATAAAACCAAAACTAGAACTACCACATGAACCAACAATTTTGTTCCTGGGTATATATCCAGAAAATATGAAGATACTAATTAAAAAAAATACATGTACCCCAATGTTGATAGCAGCATCATTTACTATAGCCAAGACATAGAAGCAACCCAATTGCCCATTAACAGATGATTGGATTAAGAAGATGTAGTACATACATGCCATAGAATATTACTCAGCCATAAAAAGAATGAAATACTGCATTTGCAGCAACACTGATGGACCTAGAGAATATTGTGCTTAGTGAAGTAAGTCAGACAGAGAAAGGCAAATACTGTATGATATCACCTATATGTAGAATCTAAAAAAAAAAATACAAATTAATGTACAGGAAAAACAGAAACATACTCATAGATATAGAAGACAAAATTGTGGCTAACAAAGGGAGAGAGACGGTGGAAGGACAAATTAGGGGTATGGGATTAACAGATACAAACTACTAAAATAGATAAGCAGTAAGGATGTACTGGACAGCACAGGAAATTATACCCATTATCTTGTAATAACATATAATGAAGTATATGCTGAAAAAATACTGAATCATTATGCTGTACACCTAAAACTATACGCAATATAGTAAATAACTACTGGAGTGGGTTGCCAAGACCTCCTCCAGGGGATCTTCCCCACCAGGGGTTGAACCCACATCTCCAGCATCTCCTGCACTGCAGGCAGATTTTCATCCACTGAGCGACCTGGGAAGCCCCAAATAAACTACAATTCAATTGAAAAAACACCAAAAAATTTTTCCTTTAGTTCAGGTAGATGTTTTTGCTTCTATTTTAGATTACACATTAAAGAAAACATACCAAATCATTAAAAGAAGCTTGGGTTTCCCTTTCATCCTTTTTTTTTTTGTAAACACATATTGTGAAAGAATTCATCTAGGAAAACCAATCCTGAAAAGACTCAGACAACACTTTGTGTCATTTAAGTTTTTTGTCTGTCGTGAGAGAATGCTAAGCATCTTTAAATGATCCCAATGCTCCCCTCTGTGGTCAGAAGAGGAAGAGCAAGCATTGGTCACTCAGTCACGTCCGTCTCTTTGTGACCCCATGGACTGTAGCCCGCCAGGCTCCTCTGTCCATGGGAATTCTCTAAGCAAAAATACTGGAGTGGGTTGCCATGCCCTCCTCCAGAAGATCTTCCCAACCCAGGGATCGAACTCAGGTCTCCTGCATTGCAGGCGGACACTGAGCCACCAGGGAAGTGCTTGGACAAAACCAAATTCCATCCTACTCGTTGCTGTCCCCTTCGACAGTAAACTGATACTGCGGCGAGAAACATGGTGCTTTTTACATAAACAAGTGAACGGACAACCAAGGCCTCTACAGTTCCAAGACCTACTTTCTGTGTGTGTATTCCGGATTAGGAAACACTGACCCAAGATATCAACTAGCTCACTTTTAGAGGAAACATGCTCAGCGAGCTCTCATCGCCTTCTCCCGACATGGGCCCGTTCTACATTATCTCTAAGGGGAAGTACTTAATTACTGGAATTAATGGATTTAATTAATAGCCACTCCATACTCAATGCATCTNCAAGATATCAACTAGCTCACTTTTAGAGGAAACATGCTCAGCGAGCTCTCATCGCCTTCTCCCGACATGGGCCCGTTCTACATTATCTCTAAGGGGAAGTACTTACTTACTGGAATTAATGGATTTAATTAATAGCCACTCCATACTCAATCCATCTTTAAAAAAATTTATTATATTGAAGTAAATCGATTTATAATGTTGAGTTAGTTTCTGCTGTACAGTAAAGTGATTTAGTTATATATAGTTTTATATATATGTATACATGAGGGTGAGTGCATGCTCAGTCGCTTCAGTTTGTCTGGCTCTTTGCGACCCCATGGACTGTAGCCCACCAGGCTCCTCTGCTCATGGGATTCTCCAGGCAAGAATACTGGAGTGGACACTTGCACCCCAATGTTCACCGCAGCACTGTTTATAATAGCCAGGACATGGAAGCAACCTAGATGCCCATCAGCAGANAACTAAGAGTTCACATGCTGCAACTAAGGATTCTACATGGCGCAACCAAGACCGAAGATCCCGTGTACCACAACTAAGACCCAGCACAGCCAAATTAAAACCAACCAACCAACAAACGAAACCCTTAACAAATACTGGTGTAATCTCTCTAACAGGTCAGATAGTCTTCTACCAACCATGGTAAACACAAAACTTACATAAGACATACTTCACGTCTTTTGAAAGTATGAGAGAGATACAAGAGAAAAAAATGAGCTAAATATACAGGCAGCGGATGGTACAGACAATAAATGCTATGGGAATTGAGGGTGGGATGGGGAGGGGTGAGGGGATGGTCACCACTGAAAGTGTTTAGAAAGAGCTTCAGAGAAGCAGATTGAAAAGGTAAAACGTCAACTTTGAGATTGGTTTGGAACAATGTTCTTGAAAAGTTTATTTGGTAGTCAGGAGTTTCTCGGACTTTGAAAATGGGTTTCTGTAGAAATCATTTCCTAAATCGTGGTTAATATCTTGGACCAGTCCACTGAAATTCACCAAGACTTTGGTCTCATAAGAGCCTCCTGGGGCCCTGCACCAAGCCCTTCTGAAGCCTGAGTTCTGAGTTCCATGGCCCTTGAGACACAGCACAGAGTAGGATGTGATCTAGGCACCAGGGAAGCACAGGCCTCATAATCCACACCTCTGGCAGGGCTTCTGGAGGCTCTCCAGGCCATGATGGGAGATTATAGAAGCTGGGGACAGCAGTAGCTACTGCCACCCTAGGGCATTTGAGAGGTCAAGTTTTGGAAGCCAAGGCAGTTCATTATGAATGGGCCACTGAACGAAATGACTAATTGAAACCATGGTGTTGCTTTTTATAAGAAAAGAAAGTGAATGTTTTTTGAGCCAGGGACTGTAAGCCACTTTCCACTCCTTAAAAACATAATGCTCACAATATCCTATGAGGCAGATAACATTCATCCTATCTTACAGATATGGACACTACAGCTCGCAGTTAAACAATTCGCCCATTGTCATATGGTGCTGTGATTTGGCATTGGGCTTGACTCGAAAGCCAGGCCAGGGTCTCTGCCTGCACACCAGCTGCCTCTTGGAAGTGCCAACAAGAACCAGTAAGATGGAACTTTCACTGATTATCAGACACTTGCTTTCTGAAATCATTGATTTAAATTCTTTCGCACCAGTGCCAGGAACAGATTCCAAAAAACTGACTTCCCCTGGGTCAGATCAATGGGGCTTTGTGTCCCTTTCTTCCAGGGGGTCCTTTCTAATGAGACCTTGAAAATTAATCCTGTGACAGGAGTGACTGTTTTGTTGCTGCTTTGGGAGTTGCTTTTGATATCTGCCTTTTAATTTTGCTCTAGGTTAATCAGTTTCCAAAAGAATTGCATAAGGAAAAAATCAGAGAACAGTGTTAGAGGTACAAAAAGAAAGGGAAAGGGAGACTTTCTACTTTCTCCTACCCTAGATTAAATATATATTTTAGTGACTGACACACACTTGAGCAGAGAAGCCAAAATTTCTATTTCTGCCCTTTACAGAATCCACCTGCAATGCATAACAATGAGGCTTATAGGGAACACCTGCTTTCCTTCTGAGGGTCTGGAATGTTGATGATGCTAGGCAGAGGGTGCTTTTGTGGTCAATCCCCCAAGAAAATCTTGGACACTGAGTCTCTAATGAGCTTCCCTGGTTCATAACACTTCCCAAAGTTTGTCACAACTTAATTGCTGGAGGGATGATGTGTGTCTTGCGTGACTCTGCAGGGAGAAGACTCTTGGAAGCTTGTACCTGGTTCTCTCTGGACTTCACCCCCACATCTCCCTTTTCCCTTTGCTCATTTTGCTTTGTATCCTTCTGCTGTAACAAGTCTTATCTGTGACTGCAAAAGAAAAAAAAAAATCTCCTTTTTCTTTAGAAGTGTAGTGAGTTCTAACATCACCAGCTCCACTCATGGGGAAGCTTCCAGGTCTACATCATGCCAACAGGAAGGATACACAGAAGGAGAATGGGTTCAAGGGAAGACAAAGAACTCATGATCCCTAGGTAGCAGCTGGTTTGTCTCACTGAATACTCTCAATAATCTTGTAGAGAAATGAGGGTTATGGATTATTAAAAGGCTCAAATATAGGACCATACTAGGAGTTTTACTATCCTTTTTTACCAATAAGGGAATGGAGGATCAGAGAGCTCCATTACCTCCATGAGATCCTATGCTGTGGCTAGGACACCTGGATTCAGCCCAATTTTAACTGAACTACCCATTTCACTCTCCCCCCAATAAATGGCAGGGGTCAAGACTTACTCATCTTTGCAGCACCGACATTAAGCATGTTGCCCAACGCGGAAAGTACAGAAAGTGCTCCATACACTGGTGTTGTCACATCTGACCCAAAAGTGCAAATTTTTCCCTTAGGCTCTTACATGCTGCCTTACAAAGAACAGAAAGCACTTCAGATTTCTGCTGTCCTCCTTTGTGATCTTAACAGATTTCCTTAGGCACTCAGTTTTGTTTTCCTATCTCGCAACCAAATCCAAGACAGTCATTTTCTTCCCCATAACAAGTGGAAAAAAAAAAAATTTTTTTTTTTTAAATTCCCTAGTGGCTCAGTGGTAAAGAATCCACCTGCCAATGCAGGTGATACAGGTACCATCCCTGGTCCAGGAAGATCCCACAGGCCGTGGAGCAACGAAGCCCGTGCACCACAACTTCTGAGCTTGTGCTCTGGAGTCTGGGAGCTGCTGAAGCCTGCATGCTGGAGCCTCTGCTCTGCAGCAAGGGAAGCCACTGCAACGAGAAGCCCATGCACTGTAACTAGAGAAAAGTTCGCATAGCAACAAAGATGCGACCCAGCCAAAAATAAATGAATAAATAAATAAATTGCAAGAAAGAAAGGAAAATGAAGGGAAAAACTGAAAGTACAGTAGACTGAAATGCATGCCTTCCTTTACTAACATACTTACAGGGACAGTATTGGACAGAGAAGCCCAAAGTAGTAAGAGCCCATAATTGGGACTCTTCTGTTCATTTGCTTCCATCTCTAGGAGATCCAGTACAGCCTGCATGACTGTCTGTTTAAAGCAAAAAAAAAAAAAATATTGTCAAACCAGAGCTATGTGACCAAGACTGATGTTAATAAAGATCACCTTTCTTTAATCTGAAAAGAACATTTTTCTTAAATCAGAAAGATACGATTTTTGCTATTCTTAGGTTTGCGATTTCAGGCATGCTAAGGGATTTACATACTTACTGGTAGAATAGTAATTGGAAGTAGGGACTCTGGGGTTCAACACTCTTACCACATTGGTTCAAATCCCAGCTTAATTTTTTTAAACACTTTATTTTTTTAGAGCAGTTGTAGGTTTACAATAAAACTGAGAGGAGAGTACAGAAATTTCTCATATAACCCTTACCCCCACATCTGCGTAACCTTCACCATTGTCATCAGCATCACTTACCAGAACTGTACATTTTTTTTTTTACCAAGGATGAAACTAAATGGATATATCATAATCATCTAAAGTGTATAGCTTACCTTAGGATTCATTCTTGGTGTTGTAAACCCTGTGGCCTTGGACAAATGCATAATGACATCTATTATCATTACAATATCACACAGAGTATTTTCATGTCCCTAAAACATCCTCTAAGCTCTGTCTACTAATCTCTGTCCAGTCCCTAACAACCACGCGGATCTTTCTACTTTCTTCATAGTTTTGCCTTTTCCAAAATGTCACATAATTGGAATCAGACAGTACGTAGTCTGCTTATATTAGCTTCTTTCACATAGTAATATGCATTTATGGTTCCTCCAAGCCTTTTCATGGCTTGATAGCTCATTTCTTTTAAGCACTAATACTCTATTCTCTGTAGGTAGCACAGTTTATCCGTTTATCCACTTACCTATTGAAGGGCATCTTGGTTGAGTCCAAAGCAGTATAAATATTGCAATACTCTAAAACTATGCAGAGAACTGACATTTGACATGGACGGTGCCAGGTCAGATCAGGGCTACATCCAAGGCCACCTACTGTGGCTGTTCTCAGGTCATCACACAAATTCCATGAAAGCATTTCCTTCATTGGAAGGTTACCCAGATTTGCCTCTGCCAATGGTCATCTCCATTACCATGAAGAAACTCAGACATTGTAACATTTTCATTAAACTTACTTGTGCACTGTGAATCTTAAATAGGCAATAGAAATAATAATAGCTAAAGTCTAGTCACTGCTTTGGAAGGCAAGTACTGTTTTAAGGGCTTCCCATGGATCTAAGCATTCAATGCTCACCCCAGCTCCAAGGAGTAGATCTGTTATCTTCACTGTTTTACATTTGAGGAAATGAAGGCACAATTAAGTTGGGGAACTTTGCTAGAGACATACAGATCGTCACTGGTTGAGCTGGGACTGAATCCTGGGAGTCTGGCCCCTGGCTCCAGTGCCCACAATCTTAGCGACTAGGCTATCTGCCTTTTGAAAGTCGCTCAGTCATGTCTGACTGTTGGTGAGACCCCATGGACTGTAGCCTGCCAGGCTCCTCTGTCCATGGAATTCTCCAGGCAAGAATACTGGAGTGGGTGTAGCCATTCCCTTCTCCAGGGAATCTTTCCAACCCAGGGATCGAACTCAGGTTTCCTGCATTGCAGGCAGATTCTTTTCTTTACCATCTGAGCCTCCAGGAAAGCCCTTTGGGACAATCTTAGCCACTAGGGCTATGCTGCCCCTGAGACTCAATCCTTAACTCATGGATTAGGGATCTGGAGAAGGGCACTACACTACAATGCAGTGGTTTTTCTTCAGATTCTATAACATGGAAAACACCAATTACATCACTATCAAAGTAAACACATGACCAGAGGCTGTTCCTGTTACTTACAAAGAATGTAATGTTTCAAAAGTGATTAACCCTGGCTTTCTGGTTTTAACAATCCCTGTTTTCCAGGTATTAAAGTTGCTGTGAAAAATAAATGAGTAATGAATTTGTGAAATGTGTAATACTATGCCTGGGACACAGTAAGCACCCGATAAATGTTAGTGATGTCTTATTGTTTTTATAACAATGGCTTAGCAGGTTTGAAAATAATTTAAGTATAAATTTCATTTACTCTTGATTTCTATCAGACTTACAATGCAAGTTGCTATGGTACAAAGTTAATATTTCATTGAAAATCCTACAGATATATTTCATTCTCTTGACAGGCTATTCTGTGGCACAGCCTTAAATAAAAACATTAGTTTAATATATATCTAGAATAACATGGGAGAAGTCATTCATGTTAAAATATGATAAAATTATGATGTGATAAGAGTGTGTATAATCTTAAAATAAAAAATCTTCTTCTAGTCTTTTGCTTAACTAGGCCATTGAGGGACTTCCCTGGTGGTCCAGTGATTAAGACTCTGTGCTCCCAATGCAGAGGCCCGGATTCAATCCCTGGTCAGGGAACTAGAGCCCATATGCTACCGCTAAGACTTGGTGCAGCCAAAAAAAACCACAAACAAATCCCTAAGTCATTGAAATCTACTTATACAGTAAAAGACAACAAAATCTTTTATTTTCTTCTTAGCCCACGTTTTTAAAAGATTGTTGGTATAAAGACATAAACTCTGTGTGAATACTGCTGGAGGAAAACAGAAACAAAAAAAAATTTTTTTTTGAGTTAAAAATTCCCTAATTTTTCATTCCCAGTACCACTACCACAATTTACAGGGCAATATAACTGATGTAATGAAAAGAAAAAGACAAAGCTACAACAGATAAAAGACCTCAGGAATGTACATCTAATTGACACTACGTTGCATTAATCAATAGCTGCACTCTTTGCAAACTGTGGCTATGACAGTCCTGAACAGAAGGATTTCCTGTTTAAGCTGCAGTAACTTTTCTGACTATGGATCATCATTCCTTCTGTGGCAGATTTTTACAGTTCCTCTAACGCATTTGGGATGACTGTCTCAAAGTAACCTGTAGCTTTCCTGACAACTCTTCGCCCTCTCTTCTGGAAGAACTGTAGTCCTTTTCTGAGTTTTTAGAACGTTCTGCTACCGTATCCACCACTTCCACCACCAGATCCATAACCACCACCATAGGGACTGCTCGAGCTTCTTCCACCAAAACTGTCCCCTTTCATGGGTCCATAATTTGATTGCTGTTATCCATTGTAATTTCCAAAATCATTATAGTTTCCACCACCACCATAGTTACCTCCAAAACTTCCTCCTTCATTGTAACCATCATATCCTCCACCATTACCACCATATCCACCACCTTGGTTTCCATATCCTGGTCCACCACCACCGTAACCTCCTCTACTACTATAACCAGGACCACCGCCATAGTTGCCACCATCACCTCCAAATCCATTGTATCCACCATCACCTCCTCCATAACTCCCTTCTGTTGCCACCACCTCCACCACCATAGCCCCCTCTTCCACCAAAGTTTCCACCATGGCCAAAGTTACCTCCACCACTTCCAAAGTTTCCTCCATGACCCATAAGGTTGCCAGATCTACCTCCATGACCTCTTTGGCATCCAGCAGATTGCATCTCTCATTTAGAAAGGGCCTTTTTATAAAAAATGACGTCACACAGCCCACGAGTGTTCAAACTGAATCCTGTCCCAGCCATAAACACTGAATAAGCTTCACCAAAGTTCAAAATGTGTCTTTATTCAAAGAGGGAGTTCAAGTACTTATGATTAAAGTGCCTCATTTCTTCAGGGTAAGAAAAATAAATGCTATTCTAGAATTATTGTCAGTGGGGAGTTTTAAGTGAAGTGAAGTGAAAGTCGCTCAGTCATGTCCGACTCTTTGTGACCCCATGGACTATACAGTCCATGGAATTCTCCAGGCCAGAATACTGGAGTGCGTAGCCTTTCCTGTCTCCAGGGGATCTTCCCAATCCAGGGATTGAACCCAGGTCTCCCGCATTGCAGGTGGATTCTGTGCCAGCTGAGCCACAAGGGAATCCCGGGAAGTTTTAACTGGGGCATTAAAACGTCTGTTTTCTAGGCTCCTAGATTATAGATCTACTTGGGTCTAGCTTTTATATACACATGGCTTTACCTCTAAATTCCGGAAAATAATGCAAAGAACAATGTGTTTGTCTAGATCTGTTTGTAAAATAGAATTCTTAGCGGAGGCAAAGTCTGTTAGTGAAGGGCATCCTAGTCTAACTTCCTTTCCTTTTGGCTAACTGTTGACTGTTTAATTCTGAATAATCTGTATGTGGTGATTATTATCTTGTTTGTACTTTACTGTATTATTATTTTTTATTAATTTAAGAAAATAAAAGGCAATGTGATTTTTCCCCTTTTCTGTCTTTTCAGAAATGCCTTGCAGAATATAATGAGGGCTTATGATACACAGCAAAGGTTGTTTGCATTAAAGAATTTAATACTCCAGCTGTCCTGGTACCCAGTCTAACTTTCTATCCCCTTCATTCGGGAGGGAGATCCCCAAACATTCACACATTCATTTTTTTTTTTCCTAAAGTGAACTTTCCCTCCAGTGTTAAGCAGAGTTGTTGAAAATAACACTTGCTATTGTTAACTAAAAGCAAACGAACAAAAACGTCTGATGTCATCTTTAAGTGCTAAAAGATAGGAAGTGATTTCTTCAGTGAGGATAACAATGATAAACTCTACATAGTCTTTATTCTGTTCCAAGTGCTTTCCAAATACTAACGCATGGATCCCACAACTCTATGAAGTAGGTGACAAAACTGACACCAAGAGGCTAGGTACCACATCCAAGGTCACAGAGCAGTGAGTGAATCTGCGTCCAGGCAGTTCAGGCCAAAAGGACGCTCAGCCTCCCAGGGTGAGTCTGGAGAATCGGGTAATTTTCCAAAGCTTCCAGGGGTTCTAATGAGCAGTTGGGATGGAGAACCATGCATTAGCAAGCATCAGAACCATCTGGAAGGTGCATCAAACCACAGATGGCTAGGCTCCCAGGGTTTCTGCCTGAGTGGTTTCCCAGGTGATGTTGGTACCATTGGTCTAGGGACCACACGTGGAGAACAATAGATCCAGGACACTTGGAAGAGTGACTCCTGGTGCCTTGCTCTTTAAGTTTTGTATCATACTACCTGGGTGCATTTGAAGAGAGAAACAATGAGTGGTGGAGACCTCAGGGGAAAAAGTCAGCTTTGTCAAGCTTTATTATCTTTGCCTAACTGGCTGTAAATCCCACCTGAGACTGTTGACACAAACAACTCTACAATCAATGTGTGTTTGCTAAATAGCTTCAATCATGCCTAACTCTTTGTGACCCTATGGACCATAGCCTGCCAGGCATCTCTGTCCATGGGATTCTCCAGGCAAGAACACTGGAGTGGGTTGCCATGCCCTCCTCCAGGGGATCTTCCCAACCCAGGGATTGAACTGGCGTCTCTTATATCTCCTGCATTGGCAGGTGGGTTCTTTACCACTGTGCCACCATAAATCAATTTAAAAAGAAACTCAGACGATTGTGTTATTTTGTTATCTGTAGTCTCAGTTTTTCCTTTATGGAAAATAGGGTTAATTCCTTCCTCCCTGTTGTGAGGATGTAATAATAAAATAACGTATGTAAACATCCGACACAGTGGATGGCAAAATGGTATCTAATGCATTTCATGATCTTCAGCAACAACGACAACCACAAAAAAATCTAAGAAATACTTACCAGGGAATTATCTTTTGCAGATTTGTATGTTTTTATATCCGGAATGTTTTTCTCAAAAAGTTCTAGAAGCCATTTTTTGGATTTTGACCAGTTTCTAGGTGAGAAAGAATACGTGTATAAATTAACTGAAAAGCACTCTAGGAGAAATAGATCACAGCAGAAAAGCGACACTGTCTACAGAATTTGAATTCTCCAAACATCTTCTGTTTCAGTGGGAACTTCATGAGAGGTCTTCCTTCAGATTTATCAGTATCCAAGGAAAACTGAGGGGGCAAAGCAGTCGCATTTTAGAGTCTTTTGCAAAGAAGCGTTTGCATTCCTAGAGGACCGGCGCTGAATAAGAAAACAGGGCCTATGACTTGCTCAGTCTAAGGTTACTCTGGCTGTTGCCCGTCTCAGGAGGATGAAAAACTAGTACTGGACCTGTGATTGGGTTAAATGAGGTAAAGCAAACTGACGAAGAGCTTTTTATCTTTCCTGACCAGTCATCAGTGTAGACCAACTGCCAAGAAACTAAAAAAAAAAAAAAAATCACATTACTTTGTAATCAAACCATTTCACAAACTTTTTTTTTGTTTCTTTTTTTTGTTTGTTTGTTTCATAAACTTTTATCTGAGCCAATTGTAAGAAATACAATTGAGCACAACTACTGCTGCCTCAGGGGAGAAGAAGGACAAGGTCTGATTCTGACCCAGGTCACACTTGATAATGCAGGAATGACTGGTAAGAGTAAGCTGGAAATGGCATAGAAGGGAAATGGCATAGAAGGTCTCAAAACAGACTCTTCGTTTCTTTCTCATATTCTCCCCTTCCCCTCTTGTTTTTGTTCCTCAAAATGAGACTAAAGAAATAATATCCATCACTTTTCTTTAGTTCCTCCCTCAATTCACACACACACAACCCTAACTGGTCATAAGAATTAGCTTCTGTCTCTTCCACTTAAACTGCTATTATATCTACTTAGAACAAAGAAAGGAGTGACAAATATGAATGGCTGAGGGGAGCTTGAAAAGGGAATTAATACAGGAAACAGTTCTCTACCTGAGGAGGCATTCTGGCAACTGGGACCCATATTCAAAACCTTCATCATAAGCTTGAAAGTGCTGATGAAACTCCCTGATTTTCCTCTCATCTGAGGGAAACAGACCCTTTTTAAAGAGTATGTTCACTGTGACGGGGTAAAGGAGGTGCCTGCAAAGATAGAAACACATAAAATGTCAGAGCCAGTGACCAAAGAAGAAGGCACCGGATACAAGAAGGTATTATTGAACAGCTATATGTTAGGGGTAGACAATCATATGTGGGGCTGCCAAGGCGATAGTGGTAAAGAACCTGCTTACCAATGCGGAGACATCAGAGACGCCAGTTCAATCCCTGGGTTAGGAAGATCCCCTAGAAGAGGAAATGGCAACCCACTCCAGTATTCTTGCCTGGAGAATCCCATGGAAAGAGAAGCCTGGTGGGCTACAGTCTATGGGGTATCAAAGAGTCGGATACGACTCAAGAGACTTAGCACACACACATGCATGCAATCATATGTGATAAATTTGGTGGGGGGAAGTCACTCTTAAGAGCTTTTAATATTTGGTTACTGTGCTCAAGATAACTTAGGGGTAAAACTGTGGTCTTATTTATCTAAAGATTTTCAAATGCTTTCTAATCAAGTATTGTTCGATCCTGATAAATGTGAGCTTAAAACTAAGGCGGTGTTTCAGAGTTCCGAAGAACTCTGGTACCATAGTTCTTTACGTCTCAGCACAGAAAGAATTCAGTGAGAGACAGTGTGATAGATAAGGAATTATTTATTAGAATAGGATGCGTGTGAGGCTTACGAGTAGTGGGTCAGAGGAGGCCTCAACCCAAGAACTTACTGGGCTACAGTTTTACAAACACAGGAAAAGTGGGGAAGCAGAGAAGACCTTTTTCTTGAGCAGATGTCATGCTTCCATCATCAGTTCCTCCTGCAGGTTGCGCAGGGGAGCTTTCTTGTCCCTACATGGTCAAGCAACGTCCATAAATTGCTGTTTTTTATGTGTGCAGAGAGCGTGTCCTAACTTACTGAGCTCACTGAACTGGATGAGGGTCTCATGCCACCATTGTTGTATTGTCTTGGGGCATGTCTTGTGCTTCTGTTGCATGGTTTTACTGCTAAGCGAGCCTGCTTGGTTTCATGATTACGTAAATCTGTTTTCTTGAGTAATCATTAACTTACAGGGGCCTCCCATGTTTTTTTCTACTTGCAATCCCCTAGTGGGGTTAACTATTTAATCACCTACTTTGTCCCTATACTCTGTCCTTATCAAGCTGATACACAGAAAAATTCAACACAATTTCAACAAGCATTTATTTTTAGCAAATAACAACAATAACCAAGATACTGCTCATACCTTTAGATAGCAGCAAAAAATAACCAAAGAATCAAGGGCAATATTAGTCACCAAATTCCTAATATCTCCCAGGATCTTATGACTTTGAACTATACTGAAAATTCAAATGCAGTATTGAGAAAAGGAATATTTCCTGCCATATCAATAAACAAAGGATGTCACAGCCATCAGCAACTATAGCCACCACTGATGGTGAGCTGGTGAGTCCTGAGGAAACTCAGGAAGGAAAAGAATACTTGCCACCTGGCAGCCCTGACTGCAGCCACTCCCTGCGGTGAGCCCCAGGAGCCTCCAGATGTGAAAACACCGGATATTAGTCCCGGAGAGCTGAGGTGCCTATCAAATGAATGATTTCAGTGAGCCCAGACTCTTGCATATTCCCAAACATAGAAAAGTGCTAAATTCCTGAGATATGTGGTTTTCTTTGATTAATAAAAATCTTCTGACAGATGTTCAGACTACCTGTCCTTTGTTGCAAAACTTCTATATGACCTGGCTCCTGGTCTCACCTTTTCAAAGCAGTTCTCTCAGGGTAACTTGAGATGCTGAAGTTGAAGTTTTAGGGCTTGAAATCCTAAAAATTCCCACCAAATAAAACTTAACTCTCAGCTTTTAGGTTGTGAATATTTCTGAAGTCTACGGTATCTGTCATCAGTAAGTTTTCCCTCAAGTGAATAAAATTACTGTGGAATACTTACATAAAAGAATATCAAAGATTATTAATATGTTCTAGATTAGTAACACTAAGTACTGTATCTTCCATTTTTGTTTGCCATCTGTCCTTGACAGAAAATTCTCAGGATCTCCTTCTGTCACAGTTTCAAAGTTATTCAAGAATTTGCTTAGTTTTGTTGTATACATTGGGCATGTCAAAAGTTTGGTTGGTTGGTTGTTTCTGTTTTTATTTTTTCCCTATTTCTGGACTTCTAACAAAATATTAAATGTTGTTGTGCTTTATGAGTCTGAACAGTTGAATCTTGCCTCCAGTATCAGGGTATCCCCCTGAGATGGAAAAGTGCCTCACCGGTAACTTCAGTTTACCAAATCTCCCTGCACGTGGTGGGGATTTTTCACATGGCTCCCGTGCTCAACCCTGACATTTGTCAAAAAGCTCCAGAACATAACTGAGCACCACCTGGCTCCCCATACTGTCCTTGCCTGTCTCACTTTCTCAGCATCTCTGCTCTCGGAGGACTCTGGGCTCAGTCCTGAGGCCCATGGTGGCTTTGCCTCAGCCACCTTGTGAAGTCTTATAGACATCTCCTGGAATCTTGTCCTCTACTTTGCAATTCTCTCCTCTTCCCTCTCCTCTCAATGTCCTCTTGTTCGAATAATCACAAATTGCAGTGAATGCTTTATCAAAATTCTGATGGATACATACCAGTTATATGAAGGAAATCCATGTAAAGCAAACAAAATTGTAAGGAATGACTAAGAAGAAATTATTATATATGTGCTAAAATGATTTTATTGGCTTGTTTGTAATGTGCCTGCTAAGTTGCTTCAGTTGTGTCTGACTCTTTGTGACCCCATGGACTGTAGCCTGCCAAGCTCCTCTGTCCATGGGATTCTCCAGGCAAGAATACTGGAGTGCGTTGCCATGCCCTCCTCCAGGGGATCTTCCCAATCCAGGGATTGAATCCATCATCTCTTACATCTCCTGCACTGGTAGGCAGGTTCTTTTCCACTAGTGCCCCCTGGGATCTATTGGTTTGTTTGCTTAACTTCAAATTGAAGTACTAAATGAAAACTGCCCATTAATTAGAATTTAAAAGAGCAATAGAATTTTTTAATTGGTTAGTAAGGTAGATTTCATTAATCCATCACATAGTATCTGAGGTCCAACATATAGGCTTTTAACTCTCAGCTTTTAGGTTGTGAATATTTCTGAAGTCTACGGTATCTGTCATCAGTAAGTTTTCCCTCAAGTGAATAAAATTACTGTGGAATACTTACATAAAAGAATATCAAAGATTATTAATATGTTCTAGATTAGTAACACTAAGTACTGTATCTTCCATTTTTGTTTGCCATCTGTCCTTGACAGAAAATTCTCAGGATCTCCTTCTGTCACAGTTTCAAAGTTATTCAAGAATTTGCTTAGTTTTGTTGTATACACTGGGCATGTCAAAAGTTTGGTTGGTTGGTTGTTTCTGTTTTTATTTTTTCCCTATTTCTGGACTTGTAACAAAATATTAAATGTTGTTGTGCTTTATGAGTCTGAACAGTTGAATCTTGCCTCCAGTATCAGGGTATCCCCCTGAGATGGAAAAGTGCCTCACCGGTAACTTCAGTTTACCAAATCTCCCTGCACGTGGTGGGGATTTTTCACATGGCTCCCGTGCTCAACCCTGACATTTGTCAAAAAGCTCCAGAACATAACTGAGCACCACCTGGCTCCCCATACTGTCCTTGCCTGTCTCACTTTCTCAGCATCTCTGCTCTCGGAGGACTCTGGGCTCAGTCCTGAGGCCCATGGTGGCTTTGCCTCAGCCACCTTGTGAAGTCTTATAGACATCTCCTGGAATCTTGTCCTCTACTTTGCAATTCTCTCCTCTTCCCTCTCCTCTCAATGTCCTCTTGTTCGAATCATCACAAATTGCAGTGAATGCTTTATCAAAATTCTGATGGATACATACCAGTTATATGAAGGAAATCCATGTAAAGCAAACAAAATTGTAAGGAATGACTAAGAAGAAATTATTATATATGTGCTAAAATGATTTTATTGGCTTGTTTGTAATGTGCCTGCTAAGTTGCTTCAGTTGTGTCTGACTCTTTGTGACCCCATGGACTGTAGCCTGCCAAGCTCCTCTGTCCATGGGATTCTCCAGGCAAGAATACTGGAGTGCGTTGCCATGCCCTCCTCCAGGGGATCTTCCCAATCCAGGGATTGAATCCATCATCTCTTACATCTCCTGCACTGGTAGGCAGGTTCTTTTCCACTAGTGCCCCCTGGGATCTATTGGTTTGTTTGCTTAACTTCAAATTGAAGTACTAAATGAAAACTGCCCATTAATTAGAATTTAAAAGAGCAATAGAATTTTTTAATTGGTTAGTAAGGTAGATTTCATTAATCCATCACATAGTATCTGAGGTCCAACATATAGGCTTGAAACTTTCTTATTCCCCTCCCCCCCAAAAAGAAAACAAAACAAAAATAATAAGGCATTGATTTACCTCATAAACTTGTTCAGGTCTGTGGTCCCATGAGTACCTAAATTCTGCAACTGTTCCTGTAATTCTTCAGTCAATTGTCCAGTGAATTTGTATAGGTTTAAAGTCCCCATTTTCCCTTTCACCGTGATATAAAGTTTCTCATGCAGTTTTAAAAAGATATTCTTTGCGATGGATGCTATAAACAGAGAAAACACTTTTCAAAAGAAGCAACCATGTCTTGAAGTAAACCATCAGTGACCTCCCTCTGTGTCTTGATCAGCAGGAACTAGAGCCAAGGGTGAAGATTCAACATAAGCTGTGAGATGGTGAAAGCCTTGACAAAGTTTGCAAGGCCTTCTACCCTCTTTCCAGGTTTCCAATGGTATTTCCAGTGTCTTCACCCTCCAAATATATATTCCAGGTAAAACACACTCTTTTTTACATCTCACCATCTTCACGAGCTGTTCTATCTGCTCAGAATGTTCTCTGTTTTTGACAACCAACCCTCACTTCCCTTACACACCTATGAGATATACATTTCTCCTTCTGACTTCTTTTCTCCTTTAAGTGTCTTAAATATTGTCTCCACCAGCAGGATCTTCCTAACTCCATGAGTAGCTTTGGCTCCACTGTTCACCCCACACCCTTTTATTTATTTATTTTTGATGTGGATCATTTTTAGTCTCTATTGAAGTTATTACAATATTGTTTTTGCTTTATGTTTTGGTTTTTTGGCCATGAGGCATGTGGGATCTTAGCACCCAGACCAGGGATCAAACCTGCATCCCCTGAATTGGAAGGTGAATTCTCAACCACTGGACCACCAGGGAAGTCCCCACACTGTTTCACTGTTCTCTTTGTCTCAGTGCTCATGCTCCTTTCATGACACATCTGGTCTGGTCTGGGTGTTAAAGAGTATGAATTTTTGAACTCATTATTCCTTTATATTTTTCTTTAAATCCTTTTTAATTATCTTTGAAATAAGTTTTTTAAAAAATAATTTTTAATTTTATATTTCATCATCCTATTATATGTAGGTTACATTTCATATAAGTTAATGAAAAATAATTTGTAGATTTCTTGAGTATGTATCATTTATGTGGTAGAGGTATATTAAAAAGGAATGGGAAGCTGGCTCATGAGTAAATACTAAGATATTTTATCTGTTAATTAGAAATATTTAAACATGAAAGTCCCCAGGAGAGGCAGAGCTGAAAAAAAAACTGATCATTTCAATATACCTCTGATAGGTAAGTTGGTATATTTTTCTGAAGGAATATGCAAATTTAAAGATCAAGGGTCTTCCAAATATTTATATTTCTTTGATATGGAATGCCAGTCTAAATATCAAGAAGCATCAAAGAGTCAAAAAATGTAGTCAACATGTTATGATTTTCATGCAAGCAACAAAAAATTATAATCATGCTATTGATCACTAACAGCTTTGAAAACAAACTTTTATGTCTTAATGGCAAGAAATGCATAAGAAGAAGCTATAGGAAAATGAACCTAAGAAAGAAGCAAAAAAAGGAAGCCAAGAGAAAGAAAGATGTTAGAAGCAAGCACAGGCATTGTGAAAGCAGAGACAAGAACCAGGTGCAAAATGAACCAGCTCTGTATTCCTGGGAAGACAAATGGCCTTAGCATGCATGTTCACATCCTGGGGAGAAATAAAGGCAGCCACACTGAAAGTATGCTGGTGAATTGAATCCAGCAGTCTCTGAAGATGAAGAAAGGGCACCAATTATATGAAGCCAAGCCACACTCACCTTAATAACCCTATGGATTATGTCAGGCAATGCCACAGTAAAGGGCTTACTGGGGCTTCCTTGGTGGTCCAGGGGTTAAAACTCTGCCTTCCAATGCAGGGGACGTGGGTTTGATCCCTGGTCAGGGAACTAAGATCCCTCACACTGCAGGGTAACTAAAGGCACACACTGCAACCAGGGAGCCCATGCCACAAAGAGAAGCTCTCCTCCACGGCAACAAAAGACGGAGCACAGCCAAAATAAAGGAGAGGGGCTTACGTGGAGCAACATGAGATCAAACAAGAGCTATAGCCTGTAAAACACATGCACAGCAGTGTAACAGAGTCAGTGACATCTTGGGGGCTGTTAACAGGATGCAGATTCCAGTATTTTCCCAAGGAAACGTCCATGAGGTGACCTTATCTTTTCCACCTGTCTTGTGGAGATCCTGATGTTTTACATTGCCAATAATTTATTTTTCGGGCTTGGCTCAGATGGTAAAGAATCCACCTGCAATGCAGGAGACCTGGCTTTGACCCCTAGGGTGGGAAGATTCCACTGGAGAAGGGAATGGCTACTACTTCAATATTCTTGCCTGGAAAAACCCATGAACAGAGGAGCCTGGCAGGCTACAGTCCAGGGGGCCACCAAGAGTTGGACACGACTCAGCGACTAAGCACACAATTTGTTTTCCAAAGGCCAAACTCATCACAAACTCTTTTCGATCCCTACTCTAAGGAATAAAATAATGGGTCTGCCTCATTTTTGATAGATGTGCTTGTTACCTACAAGTGCTCTTGGGATTCCATGCTGTATTTCAAATGGGCTATCTGAAAATACTGTTTACCTGTACGATAGATGGGATTTTGCACTGCTAGTTCAAAATTTACTTCTTTGGATTTGAGAAACACATTAATTCCCTCTTCTTCAGTAACAAAGGTCATTCGGGTGCCCATAACAATGACTGTAAATACTGGTCCATACTGAAAGAAAACACATAAGTACAGATCAGATTAGTGAGCATTTCTAATAGATAAGTTACAGGACATGGGTTATGCTTAAGACAGAGTTCCTCAAGAACCCCAATACTGAGATTACAGTCAAGATAAAAACTATTAAGATTTGGTATAATGTATGTGTGCTCAGTCACATTCGACTCTTTGCTATGGACTATAGTTATAGTCCTATGGACTATAACCTGCCAGGCTCCTCTGTCCATGGAATTTTCCAGGCAAGAATAGTGGAGTGGCTTTCCATTCCCTAGTAATTAGTTATAAATTTTGATTGATGGAGTGAAATTTAATTATATAAATCCTAATTTATTCTGTCATAATATTTAACCTTCCTTTTGATTGTATTTTTATTTGTTTGCACCTTTCATTCTGGCAGTAGCAAATAAAACTTAGAAATAATTGTTAGAAATTAGGTTAAACACTGCGATATTCCAACACTGTTTTCAAGATACCTGGAGGGTTATAAGCAACCTATGGCTGAACTTTGTTCAAGGAAAAGAAAACTGCTGACTGATTTCACCGTCAATCTCTGGTCACTCAATAATGTCTACAATGCAAAGTTCTGTAATGTTCACTTTCTCCCTTTCCAAAATGTCTCACCTGTTCACCCTGCCCAACCCTCTCCACTCAGAGAGTTCCTGCTTTGTAACTCACTGGGGAAAATGAGCATCCTCGGCTTCTCACCACCAGGGCAAAGAATTGTACCCATTTGTACCCATTCTCCATGCTTCCCCCCAAGTTAACAGGTGGAGGTCCTGCCCCTGGGAAATGCCCACCCTCCTTCACTTGTGGTATGGATTCCATATTCTCTCTTTGTTCTTCATGGACACCTTCTCTCTCATACACCATCACTTGTGCCTTTTCTATCAGATGACTCCTAGGAGCCTCTAGGAGTCAAACATCTTCTAGTGGATGGGTTTGGCTTCAGGGAGTCCACAACTTTACTGAGAGAAAAAAATATCATTATTTTCACTGGCCTCTAACTATAATTTAACATTTTCAATTATGAATGGAGGCAATAAACCACAATCTTCCCCATAACTCTAACCTCAAAAGAGCTTACTGTTCCAATTGTACTTTTTTAGATTTGGTGTCTATTTGGCATCCATTCCTCACAGGGTCACTTACATTAGCTACATTTTCTTTTTTCTTTTTCTATTCAAATGATGCCTCTTAAATTCTCTTGAATGTTCTCTAGAATACATTAAAATAAGCAGAGGTAAAATACAAAGGGTTGACTAAGATGTATTTTTATTTTCTTAGAGTACTCAAAATGAACACATTTAAACACAAACCAATCTCATATTTCAAAAGAAAAGTACAGGCAGCACAAATGGAAGAGAAGAGGAACCATTACACTAAGAATATTTTAATCATTTTTAAGCCATACAAGTCCTTCAAATTCCACTAACAAAAAGTTATTTTATAGCTTCTACCCAAAATTTACAGAAGTCCCAAACTGATATGATTCTTTTGTCTTCTTGAGCTATGTTTTCTTATTCATGATGTGCAGCTTTGGAGGCCTCACTTTGTTGTTGTTGTTGAGTTGCTAAGTCAAGTCCAACTCTTTTGCAACCCCATAGACTGTAGCCTGCCAGGCTCCTCTGTCCATGGGACTGTCCAGGCAAGAATACTGGAGTGGGGAGCCATTCCCTTCTCCAGGGGATCTTCTCGACCCAGGGATCGAACTGGCGTCTCCTGCATTGGCAGGCAGATTCCTTACCACTGAGCCACCAGGGGAGGCTCCTGGCTTCACTGCTGGGTAGAAATGGCCCTCTCAGAGCTAGCTGATAATTAGAGAGAGCAAAGGATTCTGCCAACCAGGAACATGCCTTTCATATGGAAGTCAACCCACCTTGAGCCTATATTCTCAACTCTTTCCTGGTCTAAACTCTGACACACCAAGCCAATCTGATCCCTGTCCTAAATCATCCCAGAAAAAGTCACTGGGCATCTGGAGACCAACCCTAGAGCTCAAAGCCCCAAGAAACTCTTCAGGGTCATCAGTCCTAAATTGTCTACCCTGCCCTGGCTTGCTTTCCCGAGGAAACCCAACAAAGGCTGTGCACAGGGCTTTCTCTTGTTCCATCTTCTGCATCTTGACTGACAAGAGTTCCTTCCACTGTGGCCTTGCAGAGCACACAGTGACCCTTGTCTTGGACCCATGCGTATTATAACCTTCCTTCAAAGCCTCATTCTCATTTCCTCCTGTGACTTTCCCGTACCACATTCAACATGTGTATTTTTGGAACAACCACCCGTACTTTTATATCCCATTATAGTAAATTGATGCTTTCAAATTGTGGTGCTGGAGAGGATGCTTAAGAGTCTCTTGGACAGAAAGGAGGTCAAGCCAGTCAGTTCTTATGGAAATCAACCCTGAATATTCATTGGAAGGACTGAATCTGAAGCTGCAGCGTCAATACTTCGGCCATCTGATGCAAAGAGCTGACTCATCGGAAAAGACCATGATGCTGGGAAAGACTGAGGGCAGGAGGAGAAGGGGGGGGACAGAGAATGAGGTGGTTGGCTGGCATCACTGACTCAATGGACATGAGTTTGAGCAAACTCCAGGAGATAGTGAAGGACAGGGAAGCCTGGCATGCTGCAATTCATGGGGTGAATTATTTTTACATTCATTATTTTTACATTTAATGGAGTGCCCAAAGTGACCGTTTAAAATTTAAATCAGATCACATTACTCCTCTGCTCAAAACACAGTTTCCCACTTCACTCTAAGTTACAATGTTCTCTTAATAATCTGTAATAACCTATATGGGAAAAGAATTTGAAGAAGAATGAATATATGTATATGTATAACTGAATAACTCTGCTGTACGCCTAAAACTAACACACATCAACTACACCCTAATGTGTTCATGCGTACTTAATTGCTTCAGTCTTGTTTGATTCTTTGTGACCCTACAGACCATAGCCCACCAGACTCCTCTGTTGATGGGATTCCCCAGGTAAGAATACTGGAGTGGGTTGCCATGTCCTCCTCCAGGGGATCTTCCTGACCCAGGGCTCAAACCCGAGTCTCTTAAGTCGGAGGCAGGGTCTTTCTTTACCACTAGCGCCATCTGGAAACCCTATAAGCTAATATAAAATAAAAATTAAATAAAAAAATACACTCTCATTTTGAATCTGATCATTTACTCCACGGATATACTTGCACACATAGAAATGACATTTGTTGCTACATTATTTATAATAGTGAAATATAGAAAGCAAACCATGTCAATCATTAGGTGACTAAGTGAATTATGACTCAGGGAATATTCCGCAGCTTTTAAAACAAATGCAAACAAGTGGTGCTGGGAAAACTGGTCAACCACTTGTAAAAGAATGAAATTAGAACACTTTCTAACACCATACACAAAAATAAACTCAAAATGGATTAAAGATCTAAATGTAAGACCAGAAACCATTAAACTCCTAGAGGAGAACATAGGCAAAACACTCTCCGACATAAATCACAGCAGGATCCTCTATGACCCACATCCCAGAATTTTAGAAATAAAAGCAAAAATAAACAAATGGGACCTAATGAAACTTAAAAGCTTTTGCACAACAAAGGAAACTATAAGCAAGGTGAAAAGACAGCCCTCAGATTGGGAGAAAATAATAGCAAACGAAGCAACAGACAAAGGATTAATCTCAAAAATATACAAGCAACTCCTCCAGCTCAACTCCAGAAAAATAAATGACCCAATCAAAAAATGGGCCAAAGAACTAAACAGACATTTCTCCAAGGAAGACATACAGATGGCTAACAAACACATGAAAAGATGCTCAACATCACTCATTATCAGAGAAATGCAAATCAAAACCACAATGAGGTACCATTACACGCCAGTCAGGATGGCTGCTATCCAAAAGTCTACAAGCAATAAATGCTGGAGAGGGTGTGGAGAAAAGGGAACCCTCTTACACTGTTGGTGGGAATGCAAATTAGTACAGCCACTATGGAAAACAGTGTGGAGATTTCTTAAAAAGCTGGAAATAGAACTGCCATATGACCCAGCAATCCCACTTCTGGGCATACACACCGAGGAAACCAGATCTGAAAGAGACACGTGCACCCCAATGTTCATCGCAGCACTGTTTATAATAGCCAGGACATGGAAGCAACCTAGATGCCCATCAGCAGACGAATGGATGAGGAAGCTGTGGTACATATACACCATGGAATATTACTCAGCCATTAAAAAGAATTCATTTGAATCAGTTCTAATGAGATGGATGAAACTGGAGCCCATTATACAGAGTGAAGTAAGCCAGAAAGATAAAGACCATTACAGTATACTAACACATATATATGGAATTTAGAAAGATGGTAACGATAACCCTATATGCAAAACAGAAAAAGAGACACAGATGTACAGAACAGACTTTTGGACTCTGTGGGAGAAGGCGAGGGTGGGATGTTCTGAGAGAATAGCATTGAAACAAGTATACTATCAAGGGTGAAACAGATCACCAGCCCAGGTTGGATGCATGAGACAAGTGCTCAGGGCTGGTGCACTGGGAAGACCCAGAGGGATGGGATGGGGAGGGAGGCGGGAAGGGGGATCAGGATGGGGAACACATGTAAATCCATGGCTGATTCATGTATGGCAAAAACCACTACAATATTGTAAAGTAATTAGCCTCCAACTAATAAAAATGGCATGATTCATGTACAGCAAAAACCACTACAATATTGTAAAGTAATTAGCCTGCAACTAATAAAAATAAATGAAAAAAAAAAAGAAGATACTTATCAGTGTAGTTCTCTGTAACCAGCAAAGGTATCTTAAAAGGATGAAAGTAAAATAAACAATCAACCCCCACCCCCCCACACAAAAAAATGCAGATGCCTTTGTGTCTGTGTAGGATGAAAGAAAAGAGGGGTAGATTACAAAAATCATATTTTTAAAGGCATCAGAGAGTTGGGGAAACAATAAGATCTAAATGGACTAAAACAACACTGAGAATAGGAGTGAACTGATTTAGTGACTAGGTCACTATTTATTTCCCTGGTAGCATCTGTGAATTCTGGGTATGGACCAGGTGAAGTCTGAAATAGGCACCTTTGAAAAACCTACAGGTAATAAGAAATTTAATGCTGAAACACTAAACACTTTTCCCCGAATATTAGGAAAAAGACAAGCTTATCTATGTACACCATTTTTATTCAACAGTCTATTAGAAGTTTCTCTTTATGTTGGAGAATAGAACGGCTACCCACTCCAGTATTCTGGCCTGGAGAATTCCGTGGACTCTATAGTCCATGGGGTCACAAAGAGTTGGACATGACTGAGCGACTTTCACTTCACTTCACTTCTCTTTATGTAAGAAAAAGAAATAAAAGGCATAAAGATCAGAAAACAGGAAATAAACTTATCTGTTTGTAGGATATACTGTGTATGTCTAAAAATCTTAGGAAATCTACAAAATAACTACTGGAACTAATAAGTGAATTTGTCAAGATAAGAGAATACAGAACAAAAACAATTATATCTTCTATGTGCCAGAGTGATATCACTGGAAAACAAAAGTGAAAACAATTTATGGACTTCCCTGGGCATCCAGTGGTTAACACTCTGCACTTCTAAGGCAGGGGGTGCAGGTTTGATCCCTGGTCAGTGAACTAAGATCCCCATATGACAGCTACACAGTGCAGCCAAGAGGGAAAAAAAAAGTGAAAGCAATCTACAATTTCTGCAATATCCTCAAGGTATCCACAATAGCCTCAAGAACATAAAATACTTCAGGAAAATAATTAACAATCACAGGCAAGATTCCCATTATCAGAAACTACAGAATATGCCTAAAAATACTATATAACAAATGGGAGATATGGCAGTTATAGAAGACAATATCATTAAAAAGTCAACTTCCCTCAATTTTTCTATAGACTTAACAAACTTCCAATTATACTATTGATATTGGCAAGCCAATTCAAAAATTTATATTCAAATGTAAATAATCTTAAATGCCTTTCCATACTGCTCATGGGGTTCTCAAGGCAAGAATACTGAAGTGGGTTACCATTCCCTTCTCCAGCAGACCACATTTTGTCAGAACTGTCCCCCATGACCCGTCCATCTTGGGTGGCCCTACAAGGCCTGCATGGCTCATAGTCTCATTGAGTTAGACAAGGCTGTGATCCAAGTGATCAATTGGGTTAGTTTTCTGTAATTGTAGTTTCCATTCAGTCTGCCCTCTGATGGATGGATAAGGATAAGAGGC